TTTTTTTTTATTGCTCCTCTACATTTTGGAGCTGTGGTAAACACCTCACACAGATCTCTTTTTCTGTATTTGAAGTATTTCCTCAGTTTTGTGCCCCAGAAGTAGTATGATGGAGTTAAACATTTTTTTGATTGGGATCCTGACACTTTGAAAAAATTACTCCTTTTGACAAAATTAATTTTCCCAAGTAGACAGTATTTTCTCATGGTTCAAAAGTTAAAAGTGATAAGGAGGTATTCTATTAGCATCCTGCTACATGGCAGTAACAGAGGCCCCAAAATACAATGATTGAAATAAGACAGAAGATTCTTTCTCATGTAATAGTCTAGAGGTGGGCCGGTGGTCCAGGTGGGTAGCCTGCTGTTCTATACAGCAGTTTAGGGACCCAGACCACTTCTCTCTTATGATTCTACAATATCCTAAGAGTGATTTTTGTATTCTAAGATGTCCTTCTCCAGTGTTCTGAGCTGCTCACCTCTACTGTCTGCATCTAGCCCCTAGGGAAGAGGGAAAGCCCCAGAAGCTGCATACATCACTTGTTACATACCATTGTCAAGTTCTCCAACACAAGGAGACACCTAACAGCAAGGGAGATTGGGAGAGGTAGTCTCTAGCTAGGTGACCCTGTGACCAGTTAAAAATCTGGTGGTTCTGTTGCAAACAGGAAAAAAGGGACAGAAGGATCTGGGGGCAAAATCAACAGCCCCTGTTTCAGCGTGCCCCTCTTGCGATCCTGATATCCATGTGCACTCTTCTTCCCACGTGGAGAGAACATTCCTCCCACCCCCCCTCTCTGAGGGAGACCTCAGAGAGGCTCATTGAGTTGATGCTTCTAGTCTACGGTCCAGGATTTCTGGGTGATCTGAGGCAGTCCTTTTCGATAGATCAGCCCATGGTTCTTCATATCCTGAAAACCTGCAGAAGAACAGACAAGTTCATTCACTCTGCACTTCCTAAATGCAACATCGAAGGTGAAGTGGGAACCCCAGTGCAAGCTCCTATTTGGAAAAAGGAAGGATAAGAAATACAAGTAGCCATTAGTCCATCATGCTCATGAAATTCTGCTGCAGGGGCTGCAAAGCCTCCTTGTCCTGGTGGAGTAGTAAGTTCACTGGTGAAACCGTGGTTCTGTTATGGAGAATCCCCTTGCCCGTCTTCCTCCGTGGCTCCTGGCTTTGCCTTCTAGGAGATTTTGTACCCATTTTCCACCACAACCACCTCTGAAGCAGGCATGGGGGAACGTGATCTCCCTGAGGCTGCACACCTAGAGAGCACACTTCTTGCTGGTGTAGGTCGGTGGGTGTAGTGGTGTCTTTAAGGGTGGAGCAGTCACAGGCTTTTATAGGCCAGCCACATGACAGTACAGATCCCTCAAAAACCGAATAGGCTTCTGGTCTGTTTGCTTCTAGTCGGTCCCAAGTTAAAGTATCTGTTGCGAAAGATTCTTTTGGGTCTTAGTTTTTAGTGGACTGTAGACTGGTTACTGTTGTCTGTTCTTGGCCTATCCATCTTTTTCTCATTTAAATGGCAACTACCATAAATACATACATAAATACATACATATATATATATTTATATACATATATATTTATATACATATACATATATATATTTATGTACTTATACATATATGTTTATATATTTTATATATATACACACATACACACACACACACACACACATATATATAAAGTAAAATATGATGCTACCTTGAGGCCGTACCCTAAATCTGATCTTTGCAAATGGGTCTGTCTCCCATGACTCTACTCTTCACTGGAGAGTTTCATAAAAGCTTTGAAGGAAATTCTTCTCTCCTGGTTTCGGGGTACAAAAGCGGTTGGCTTTTCTAGTCCCATGGGATCTCAAAGAGTTGGAGCCTCAACTAACCTATATTTGCAGAACTCAGAACACACTGTCCTTTAGGCCGTATTTCTTCCCATTTTGGCCTGCAAAGTGGCCAGTTCTTGCCTGTCTTCATCTCACTCTTGTAGCAGCTCACGGCAAATGAGAAGCAATCAACGTTTGATTTCTAAGTGCTTCCCCTGGAGGTACAAGTTCACATGACACGGGGCCTGTCCAAGTTACTGAAGTTCTAGCAGGTTTTTGCTACAGGGGGACAAGGGTTACCAGCTTTCTAGTCTACAACACCTACTTCCTTACCACCTTCCCGTGCCAGCTGCGAATTCAAATGCCACAGTGTCTTGTCTGATAGTGCAGCAACTCATTTCTGGGCACCACTTTCCGCTTTAGCTAGAGCACAGGCTATGTTGCTACAACAAAGAGACACAAAATCTAGTGACTCAAAGGAGATAGCTTTTCTAGCACAGCAGTCCTGGAGGGGGAGAGGCAGTCCCGTGTACTAGATGGCTCTGTTCCGCTGGGTCATCCTGGGACCCAAGTCTTTCTGTGTCCTATGCTCC